GTAAAATAGTAATGATAATAGAAAGTAGTCTTCTTTTACTTGATTAATTCAAGAAAGAAAGTCTCAGGATGGGTCAACCTGTATTTCTGGATGCAAATCAATGAAATGACAAGTTCTGTCCCAATGGTCCTTAGGTCAAGGTTTTGACCTTCAGGCCTAGTTCACTACACTGGGACGCCATGTCATCCGGACCAGAGAGGACAAGGATAGCCCAAGTTGTTATCAACGCTCCGTTCAGAAGCCTGCATCACTGATGGTATGGGGTTGCATGAGCACTTGTGGCATGGGCAGCTTGCATGTCTGGAAAGGCACCATTAATGCAGAGAACCATGTTCAGGTTCTAGAACATATGCTCCCATCTAGACGTCATCTCTTTCAGGGAAGACACTGCATTTTTCAACACGATAATGCCAGACCACATTCTGCAGCAATCACAACATCATGGCTATGTAGGAGAAGGGTCTGGGTACTGAAATGGCCAGCCTGCAGTCCAGATCTTTCACCTATAGAGAACATTTGGCGCATCATAAAGGGGAAGGTGCGACAAAGAAGGCCCAAGACGATTGAACAGTTAGAGGCCTGTATTAGACATGAATGGGAGAGCATTCCTATTTCTAAACTTGAGAAACTGGTCTCCTCTGTCCCCAGATGTCTGTTGAGTGTTGTAAGAAGAAGAGAGGATGCCACACAGTGGTAAAAATGGACTTCATTCAAATCATTTCACCATCTCGTGTTCCTGGATTTAAGAAGCTGGGTTCAATTCTAACAAAATAGGGAGGTTTTAAACGGTTTTCTCAGCTGTGAGTAATTAAACAACATCCTGGAATCCTATCCCTGGATTCTAAAAAGAACCATATCAGTAAGAATAGCCATTCTACAAGGAAGGTGAACGGCCATAGAATGCGAGTTTCTCTGTGGACGACGATCCAACCCTGGCTGCTAGGTTGGGAGTCATGGGGTGAGATAAGGGTGTGGCTGACAAATGGAGGTCGTTAACAAATCTGCCAATACAGCCTAAGTTGAATTAACCTAAAATTACTCTGGGTAATACTCAAGTGTTTGGCTTAGTTCGTTCTACTCTTTAGAGGAGAGGCTGCAGTGGGGTTTGCCCATAACTCAAGTGGTAACTCCATTGCATAGATAGACATAGAGAGAGATAGTGAGTGAGTGAGTGAGTGAGTGAGTGAACGAGCGAGCGAGCGAGCGTGCGTGCATGCATCAAAAGTACGTACGTACGTACATACATACATACATACATACATACATACATACATACGTATGTACGTTCGTACGTACTTTTGGTACGTAACAAAGGTACGTACATACGTACTTTTGGTACATACATACACGTACATATATATGTACATATATACCAGTGAATGGTAAATGGTAAATGGACTGTACTTATATAGCGCCTTTCTATCTTATTTCAAGATACTCAAAGCACTTTACACTACAATCTGTGTCCTCATTGACCCATTCATACAGCACTCTACTAGATCTCTACAAAGCTAATTGAACAAATCATTCTAAAGAGACTAATCAGAGCATCTCAATTATTTTCGGTTACACCCCCCCAGGAAGAAGTAAACATTTCGCGCCCCCCCCCACTCTCCGCCACGACTGTAAATAGTACAATTTGTCTAAAAAATTGTTATAAATACACCTCTGCATAACATTGTGTCCTTATTAACATTAATTAAAGAAAGAAATATAGATAAACTTACAACAAAGATTATTAACATTGTTTTATAGTCTGTAACATAAAAGGCTTAAAGTGCATCAACTTGCCTGAAATTAAAAAAATGTATATCCTTATTTAAACTGTAAACATTTTTGACCATTTGATACTGAACAATCAAATTAAATACAATCAATAAATGATAATAAATTCAAATTGATCAGCAACATTTTAATTCAGGAGTGTTATATAAAATACTTTGACCTACAAAACAAAAATGAATAAAACAATTTGTGCTGATTTTTATATTTTTTTTATCAAAATGAGGAAGTCAGGATTAATGGCTACAATGATCATGTTTTTCAGTGCACGGCTTTTTGAAGCGGAGTTTGAAACATGATCCTGCAGCTCTCAGCTCAATGTTTAGCTGGACCTGGACGTGGTCTTCAGAGCAGCAACAGCAGAGAAGATGCAAAGAGCGAGCTGGCTGGAGGGGGGGGGGGGGTCCAGGGAAATGCGGCACGCTCACAAGAACCTGACAAGTTGTTTAATGACAAAATGTATTTTGTTAGCAAAGAATAGAGTCCTAACATTTATTAAACATCTGTTTTTATAACAAATTTAAAAAAACCAAACTTGTGCTTTGACAATCGACAAAACTTAAAAAATGTTGTCAACGTGAAAGACGAAAGAGGGGGCAGGTGTCGCTCTCGCTTTGAGTTTATACTCTTTGTTGCTGCATGCTGTGGCTGAAATGCGTCTAGAGCGGACTTGTTAGTAAAGAGTAGAGTCCTAACTTTTATTATCATTACTTCTGTATTAAAAACACACAAAAATTGTGCTTTGACAAACTAAAAAAAAATTGTTAAAGTAAAAGAGGAACAGGGGCAGGTAACGCTCTCGCTTTGAGTTTATTCTCTGTCGCATGTGTGCTGTGGGTGACAAGTGTCCAGAGCGTCACCAGCTGAGGAGGAGTCACAGCGACACTGTTCAAGCATGGCTCCCCAAACGACAAGACAGACATATTTGTTCATAACTATATTATTAGTCAGCCTGAGAGTTGACGGATTTTAGCAAACAGTTGCTGAACGCACCCTGACAAAATGAGAATGATGCCAAAAAAAAAAAAGCCTACTCCCTGCCACAAAATGTTCCCCGGGTCACATGTGCCCCCCTTGGCATTGCTCCGGGCCCCCCCCAGGGGGGCGCGCCCCACCATTTGAAAAGGACTGCCATATACATACAAATAATGTATGCATGTATGTACGTACGTACATATACTTATATACTTTTACGGGACACTTTGTGCCCCGCTCCCCTCAGGAAAGAGGTTGAGGAGCATTAAGTGTAAAACCACTAGACTGAGGAACAGCTTCTACCCTGAGGCTGTTAGACTCATGAATCTCTAACTAGAATAATCACTGTGAAAAAAATCACATTATGTTGCTGCTGATCTGTTTCATGCTGCTGTGTTCATGCGTGCTCTTCTGCTCACACAGACTCATGTTCGTGCTGCTGTTCAGTGTATTGTTTTTATGCCATTAGTGCTTAGCATATTTTTAGCGGATGTTTTTCTTAATTCATACTTTAGATCTTATTAGTTTTTCTTTTACATTTTATACTTTTGTTGGATGTAACTGAGACCCTACGTACACAATTTTGTTCTACCACATGTACCACATGTGGTGCGAATGACAAATAAAGAAACCTTGAATCCTTGAATTAAATGTCACCTCTCTGGTGGGGAAGGAGCCTGAGCTTGTGCATGAGGTTGAGAGGTACAGACTAGATATAGGGCTCACCTTGTTACATAGCATGGGCACAGGAACCAGTCTCCTTGAGAGGGGCTGGACCTTATTCTACTCTGGAGTTGCTCATGATGAGAGGCGCCAAGCTGGTGTGGGTTTACTTATGCCCCCTTTCTGGTGTCAAACATAAGGATGTCTATAAGTGCACCTGGCACCAGGACACTCCAGGCGGCAGATCAATGATAGACTTTGTAGATGTGTCATCTGATTTGTAGAAGTATGTTTTGGACATTTGGGTGAAGAGAGGAGTTGAGCTGGTGATTAGATGGGTTAGATTGGTAAGGGAAGATGCTTGACAGATGCAAATGTGTAGTGAGGGTGTACTGGGAACGGCTGGCAGACGAACTTGTCAAAATGATCTTGAACTCGCACCTCAGAGAGAACTTGAAGCACATCCCAGGGAAGGTGGGGGGCATTAAATCTGAATGGGCTATGTTCCATGTCTTCGTGCGCCTCTTGTGGCGGTGAAAGGCACATGGGTGTCACAACAGAGCCCATCAAATTGCCAGACACTGTTATGACACATGAACTTGTCTTGTTACAGATTAAAATTATACTAAATGTGTAGCACCAGTTGTGACTGTGTGACTTCCATCTGGGTCCAGCTACACCACTACTATGTTTGGCCTCATCAAGAGGGTGTGGAGGAACTAAAAGCTAAATGCGCACACCAAGATGCTGGTATAAAGACTTGTGTGGTGAGTGCTCTTCTGTATGGAGATCATGGAATTTTATTGGAAATCCATACTCTGCAATTATGCCCATTGCTCATATGAGCAAACATGTTGAGCAGAGGGCTGCCATCTAAAGGTCTCTCTTGTAAATGAGTCCTTGAGGCTCAGTGAGACTAACCTGTATAAATAAAGGTTGAATTGAAATGAATAAAGCACCCAGGGTGCAGCTGGAAAGTTAAAAGGCTAATTGCTTAAGGGCCCAAAATGGGGCAATTGACGGTGGAGGTTAGTGTGATTCTTCACCTTTTCATCCATATGTGCCATTCTAGGGATTTCAACTTCAACTCTCCAATTACAGGCTCAGTCTCTCGAAGCTCTGCACCAGCATTCCTCCACTAACTTCCCCACCACTAAACTGAAGTGAACACACCAATCTAACAGAAATATTTACCCTGTCTGCATTTTGACCACAATACATGTTGAGTTCTGCTTTGGGACCAGTCTCATCATCAGTCATGCCATGAACTGAGTCAGATTAAAGTTACCGGTAGGTACAGCAGAGTCAAAATAATGAAGACATTTTGTTTATTATTAAAAATTGATTGTTGACACTATATCATAACTTTTGGCCCTATCAAAGTTTCTTCAGGTAAAGTTCAACTGGACAGTTTGTTACATAAGTAACAGTGACCCATCCAATAAACAAAGATCTGGAAACACTTTACCAATATTGTCATCACATTTTCTCTCCGATGACTCTGATCAGCTAAAACTAACCAGTATAAAACACGACAGAAATGGAAGTAAATGAACAGTCAGCACACAAGATGTCTGATGTCAGGTTGTTACCTTGGTGCTGAATGCATTCAGCATAACAGCTGGAACATCAGTGGACTTCAGGTACATGATCTGGTCCTCCATCAGGGACACCAGGGGGGTGACAACCAGTGTGAAACCTGCCACAGGATACCAGTCAGACACACTTTTCTAAGACAGACTGATGGGTGCCAAAACTCCCAACATCCATCAGCCTTTTTCTCGAAAGCCCAATAGTATTTTGGGACTTTGTCGACATTAGAAAAAAATTAAGATGTATAATAATAAATGCATTGAATGTATAAACTAAGGCTGTCTTCAGTGTGTTGGTCATTTCAAGCGGTGTTCGAATATTTTACTAAATTTCATCTGCTATGTAATGCTCTGGAAACTTCCTTTGGTAAAAGTAGTGTACAAATGTTGTACACACTGGTGGTGAAAACAGACTACAATGCACTGTGTCTTGAGCCAACACACTATGCTAACAAAGCCTTTTTTTGCTAATGTCATAAACCCATATTTTATTGACAGTGGAGCAAAGTAAACATGATATGTTAAACATTTTAGTCAACTGTTGTCACTGAATTCAGGCAGAGATGTCCATAACAGAGTCAGACCTGTTTTTAATGCATTGCCACTAGGGCTGGGTACCTTTCTAAAAAAATCGGTATCGGTACCTTGACGGTTCTTTTTTCGGTACCAGTTTTGTAATTAATATTATTTCTAACAAGAATAAAATTACTTTACACATTACAGTACAAATCGTGAGTTTTATTTTTTTAACTTTGGTATTTTTCTATTCCAAGCAGTTTTCTTACATAAAAATAAATAATTTTCAGGTCAAAAGACCAGTTTCAAGCCAATGACACGTCAGTGTCTAATGTTCACTGCTACACACTGAGGACCTTTTCACTTAGCAGTTTTTCTTCAGAAAAATCAACATGTCTGCTTTCTCTGGACACAAACAAGCTCACTCCTGGCTGATAGTGTCTCCAGCAGTAGAAAATGTTCACTCTGAGGGTGTGAATGATGCTTGTTGCACACAGATACCTGGTTGTCAGTTTGATAGCACTGACATATTGTCCCTCACATTCCACCAGCAGGTCACTGGATTCACTGAGGTTAGGGTTGATGGCAGACTTCTGTACCTCTGTGTCTCTTCCTGAATCTTCTCTGTGTTTCTCTGAGGTTTAGTGCTCTTATCATCTCCCTAATTGACATTAGAACACAAAACATCAACAATAACATGGCTGTGTTATTATTGCTCAAAAAACATTATCTAGGCAGAGAGATAAAAGTTTAACTGGTCAACAACATTCTTTACAGCTTACTTACCTCCACCATGCAGCCTCCACTGTAGAAAAAGGCAGCAAACTTTTATCAACAAAGTTTTGACTGTCCTGTGTCCCTCCCACCTCACTTTTATTTTGTCTGTCTCTGCCCTCCTCACATCAGGGTCAGAACCTCCGGTGAGGACATTAACATAAACAGTGAACATTAGTGAACCGTTTAACCAGCTGACCTGATGGATGAGCACATTTTTACAAGCTAAGCTTCATCTGTTGCTGTCAATCTTTAGTTACCTTTTGATTTTAGCTAGCTACATAGATACCCATAAAATAAATTTACACACTAATATCTTAAAGCTAGCGTTACATGGATTCTAGTTTAATTCACCGCGATGCAGGTATTAAGCTGCAGTAACGTTAACAAACGTAAACTTACCAGCTGAAATCCCAGATACAGCTCCGTCCTCGGAGTTCTTTGATGAAGAAGAGTCCGGTCGTTGAGATAATGAATCAGGCCGTTCCTGCTCTCTAACACTCACAAGCTGACTTTAATGCTGAGAGGAGGAGGAGGGAAGGCTGCAGTCCTCTTCTCTCCTTGCAGACAAACATGGTGCAACTTTCTGCTCATAAATTGAAGCCAATCAACAACACACGTGCCGCACAAGTGAAACCCGTCCGTGGGCGTAACCAGCACCATGGACATACAGCTATAAGGCAGCTCTATACAGCTCTGGGTGTAAACACGTAGTCTGTTTGTCATAGGTCTGTGTTTTACCTGCCTGCTTGCTGAAGCCACGTGTCACGTTACAGCCAATACCGAAACTTGACACCGGAAAAAGAGTCATGTTTCAATCCATACACCAACCGGTGCATTTCGGTCAGTGCCATAAAAGAACCGAGATTCGGTATACAGCCCTAATTGCCACCTGAAGATGAAAGGCGTCTAATATTACCTTTTGGCTTTGTCAGTTAGGACATTTGTTCAGATTCCTATTATGAACTTTACATGATGCAGTCTTCCCAAATTTCTGTTGAGAAACATCTATCTAAAATTGTTCTTCTATTTTTAGACTCAGGTTTTTCCAAACTGGCAAGTCAATCTTTACTTTTGAGAGAATCAGCCTCTCTAGAAATTATTATTTTTAAATACCAGTTATGTTGCTAGCACTAACATAACTGGTTTGTTCCACTTTGGAGTAAGCTGTTTGGGAGAAGAATCAGTTTTGTGTTGTGTGTTTCCTTGACTGATGAAGACTTCTGGATGGAAGGTGAAACGTTTCAGCAAAAAAAGAAACTGTCCAGATGACCCGACTGAAAATTGTTGGAGGCGGCTGTGGCTGAGTGGTTAGAGCAGTCGTCCTCCAATGCGAGAGTTGGGGGTTCGACTCCACCAGCAGTCACATGTCTAAGTGTCCCTGGGCAAGACACTGAACCCCTCATAGCCTCTGATGTGTGTCCCATCAGTGTATGAATGTGATCTAAAGCACTGATTAGTCTCTTTAGAATGATTTGTTCAATTAGCTTTGTAGAGATCTAGTAGAGTGCTGTATGAATGGGTAAATGAAGCACAGATTGTAGTGTAAAGCGCTTTGAGTATCTTGAAATAAGATAGAAAGGCGCTATACAAGTACAGTCCATTTACTATTTACCATTTGTATACCTGGATTATTGAGTATGGACTTTTTTGAAGAGAGCAATCCACCCTTTTCAGGTTGAGGACCATGGCCTCAGATTTGGAGATGCTGATTCTCATCCCAGCCGCTTCACAACACTCTGCTGCAAACCGCTCCAGTGAGAGTCGAAAATCGTGGCACAATGACACCAACAGGACCACATCATCTGCAAAGAACAGAGATGGACTCCTGAGGGCACCGAACCAGAAACCCTCTGCCAGCTGGCTGCACTGAGAAATTCTGTCCTGAAAAGTTATGAACAGAATCTGTGACAACAGGCAGCCCTGGCGGAGTCCAACTCCCACCCTGAAGGGGTCCAACTTACTGCCGGCAATGCGAACCAAACTCTCGCACCGCTTGTATAGGGATTGAACAGCCCGTAACAACGGGCCTCCAATCCCATACTCATGGAGCACCCCCCACAGAGTAACCGAGGAACATGGTCGAATGCCTTCTCCAAGTCCATAAAACACATGTAGACTGGAGAGGCAAATTCCCATGACCCCTCAAGGACCCTAGTGAGGATAAAGAGCTGATTCAGTATTCCACGGCCAGGACGGAACCCACATTGTTCCTCCTGGATCTAAGGTTCGACCAACAATCGGACTCACTTCTCCAGTACCCCTGAATAGACCTTACCAGGGAGGCTAAGGAGTGATGCCCCTATAATTAGAGCACACCCTCCAGTCCCCCTTTTTGAAGAGGGGAACCACCACCCCAGTCTGCCAGTCCAGTGACACTGCCCCCGATGTCCACGCAATGTTGCAAAGGCGTGTCAGCCAAGACAGCCCCACAACATACAGAGCCTTAAGGAAATCAGGATGAAGCTCATCCACTCCCGGAGCCCTGCCGCCTCAGAGCTGACCTCAGCCACGGTTATGGATGGATCAACCCCAAAGTCCCCCGACTCAGCTTCCTCCATGGAAGATGTGCTGGTGGGATTGAGAACATCCGAGAAGTATTCCTTCCACCTCCCGATGATGTGTGTTTTGAGCCCTTGACTTGTTGAGGTCAACAGCTCCCCACCTTCACTGAACAGTGTTAGTAAAGTGCTGCTTTCCCCTCCTCAGCCGCCTGACGGTTTGCCAAAATCTCCTCGGAGCCGACAGAGAGTCTCTATCCAAGGTCTCACCGAACTCCTCTCACATCCAAGCTTTTGCCTCAGCAACAATCAAGGCTGCACACCACTTGGCCCTCCGGTACTCCTCAGCTGCCTCCAGAGTCCCACTGGCCAACAAGGCCCGATAGGACTCCTTCAGCTTGACAGTCTCCCTAACCCGGGGTGTCCACCACCGCGAGAAGCATCGACAACCTTGCAGCCACAGCTCAAGGCAGCTACCTCAACAAACGAGGTGCGGAACATGGCCCACTCAAACTCAATGTCCTCCACCTCAGCGGGGATGCTGTTAAAGCTCTCCCGGAGGTATGAGTTGATGATCTCTCTGACGGGTTCTTCTGCCAGGAGTTCCCAGCAAACCCTCACTATACGTTTGGGTCGACCGGGTCTGTCCAGCATCTTCCCCCCGCCATCTGATCCAATTCACTACCGGTGATCAGTTGACTGCTCAGCTCCTCTCTTTACCCAAGTGTCCAAAACAAACGGCCGCAAATCAGATGACACGACTATGAAGTCAATCATTGATCTACGACCTAGGGCGTCCTGGTGCAAAGTGCACTTCGAACATGGTGTTTGTGATGGACAAACTATGACTAGCACAGAAGTCCAACAACAGAACACCGCTCGGGTTCAGATCAGAGAGGCCGTTCTTCCCAATCACGCCCCTCCAGGTCACACTGTCATTACCCACATGGGCATTGAAGTCCCCCAGCAGAATAAAGGAGTCCCCAGCTGGCGCACATTCCAGCATCCCTGCCAAGGACTCCAAGAAGGTCGGCTACTCTGTACCTACGCGCCGAATTACAGTTCAAACAACAGTCAGAGCCCGTCCCCCCACCCGAAGGCGGGGCGAAGGGAAGCCACTCTCTCATCTACCGGGGAAAACTCCAACACACAGGCACCAAGTCGGGGGGCTACAAGTAGACTCACACCAGCTCGACACCGCTCACCATGGGCAACTCCAGAATGGAATAAAGTCCAACCCCTCTCAAGGAGATCAGTTCCAGAGCCCATGCTGTGCATCGAAGTGAGCCCAACTACATCTAGTGGGTACCTTTCAA